GATATAGTACCAACAGGAGGGGTGACAAATCATCTTCATTTTCAGGAAGCAAGGTTATGTCATCTGCATACTGCTAGTTGTTGTTTTTATGTGCCACTAAGTTGCCTGAGACTCTTAGTGACCCTAAGTACAATAGCCCTAAACCCTACTCTATCCTGTGCCAATCTTATTGTCTCTGACACATCTACCCCCATTAACCCAGTCACTGAATCAATCCATCTCATTAAGGGTCTTCCTCTCCTGTGCTGTCCCTCCATCCTCCCAAGTATAACGTCCCTTTCCAAGGACTGGTCCCTCCTTGCAACATATCCAAGGTATGTCAGATGAAGCTTCAGAATACTTGGAACCAAAGAGCACCCTTGTCTTACCATCTCAAGGACGAACTTGTTTGTTCTCCTAGCAGTCTATGGTATATTCTATACTCTTCTTCAGCACCAAAGCTCAAAGGCATCAATTCTCTTTCTATCATCCCTATTCATTGTTTGGTTTTGTTTTGGGGTGTTTTTACTTTTCAAAGAGAAAAGCGAACTTCGGGGAGGGTGGTCAGGGAGGAAAGGGTGCAACAATGAATGAATGGAAATCCAAAGTCTCTGTAAACTTTCATTAAAAAAAAAACCAACAAAACACCAAGGATTCTCACCACTGGGCCAATTGGCAGCCTCATGATAGATGGTGAAGAGATTGAGATTGTTAACAGCTTTAGTTTTCTTGGCTCTACAATCAAGAACCTTGTACCAGCAGCCAGGATATTAAAAGACAAATTGCATTGGGCAAGTGTACTGTCACAGACCTCTCCAAAGTACTGAAGAGCAACGAAGTAGGTCTGGGGACTAAGGTGTGCCTGATTGAGACCATAATCTTTGCAATTACTTGCTATGCTTCAGAAAGCTGGACAAATGTCACTTCTTTCAGAAAATGTTTCTTAGTTTTCGGGAGGGCTATAATCTTATCTTGGTTCTCTTCCTGCCTTCTAGGTCACTTCTTCTCAGTTTCATAGCTGGTTCCTCTATTTGACCTCTTCTGTTTACTACATTCACTCTCTAAAGGAGCTTTGTCAGCTGTCTTATGCCTTTGTTGTTAGGTGCTTTCGAGTCGACTAAGACTCACAGTGACTCTATGAACAATAGATCTGAACCCTGTCCTATTCTGTGCCATCCTCACCATCTCTGACACACTCGAGCTCATTGCTGCAGGTGCTGTGTCTGTTCACCTAGTTGAGGGTCTTCTTCACCCTGCACTCCCTCTACCCTTCTAAACATAATGTCCTTCTCTAAGGAATAGCCTTTCCTAGCAAGTTTGTGAGACAAAGCGCTATCATCTTTGCCCCTAAGGAGCACTCTGGCTTCATCTTCTATAAGACTTACCTGTTTGTTCTTTCTAGCAGTCCATGTGATATTGAGTACTCTTCTCCAGTGCCTTTGTTGTTATTGTTCTTATGTGCCATCGAGTCATTTGCGACTCATAGCTACCCTATGTACAAGAGTCCTAAATGCCGTTCTATCCTGTGCCAACCTCACTGTCTCAAACATATTCATTCCCACCACTCCACTCACAGAATCAATCCATATCATCGAGGGTCTTCCTCTCCTGCGCCGTCCCTCTCCCTCCACTCTCCCAAACATGATGTCCCTCTCCAAGGACCAGTCCCTCCTTGCCACATGCCCAAAGTATGTCAGACGAAGCTTCAGAATTCTTGACTCCAGGGAACATTCTGGCTTCACCCTCTCCAGGACAAATCTGTTTGTTCTCCTAGCAGTCCATGGTATATTCAACACTCTTCTCCAGCACCACAACTCAAAGGCATCAATTCTCTTTCTATCATCCCTATTCACTGTCCAACTCTCCGATGTTGTAATTGTGAAGATTATAGCCTAGATCAGGAGCACCTTAGTCTCCAGCCTGATGTCATTGCACTTCAGTACTCTTGAGAGGTTCCTCACAGCTGACTTTCCCAATACAATTCATCTCCTGATTTCCTGGCTGCTGTTACCAAGAGTGTTGACTGTGGAGCCAAGTAAACTAAAACTGTTAACAACCTCAATCTCTTCACCATCCATAATGATCCCGCCAATTGGCCCAATGGTGAGAATCTTTGTTTTCTTGATATTGAGCATCAATCCACATTGAAGACTGCAGTCCTTGACCTTCTGCAGCAAGCGCTTCAGGTTCACCTCATTTTCAGCTAGCAGGGTTGTGTCATCTGCATAACGCAGGTTGTTGACAATTCTTCCACCAATCCTGATGCCACATTCCTCCTCATATAGCCCAGCTTCTCAGATGATCTGTTCTGCATACAGATTGAAAAGGTGTGGAGACAAAATACATCCCTGACGGACCCCTTTCTTGATTTTGAACCATCCAGTGTCTCCCTGCTCTGTTCTGACAACTGTCTCTTGGTCCAAGTATAAGTTTCACATTAGCACGATCAAATGTTCTGGGATTCCCATTCTTCTCAGAGTCAGTCACAGCTTGTTGTGATCCACACAGTAAAAAGCCTTTGCATAGTCAACGAAGTACAGGTATTGCCCCAGTATATTCCCAGTATTTACCAGATGGAAAAAATTCCCATGTGCCATTTCTTTCTCTGAATTCCAGTTAACACTGATCTATAGCATTAGTGTAGGTATTTACCTCTGGGTTTTTACACCAAAGGCTACTTTTGTAAAACTCTTAATTGACTCTGAACTCTGAGGACGAGGGTCCAGGAAAGGGTTTGGCCTGAGATACTAATTCCTGTCTTTTTTTAAACACTTTATAGTCCTCTCACATATGACCTGATTTGATTCTCAACAAAGAAAGCCAGCAAGGATGGAGGATAGATATTATTATTAGGACTGGAGGATAGATATTATTATTAGGACTGGCATTCCAGGTTTCTTGCCTTTTAGATCAAGCTCAACAAATATTTGTTGAATTAGAAGATTAAAAAAATATTTCTTGAGTCAGCCTGTGGAATAAGACAGCCTCATTGGGCAATGGGCTGCTTCTCTGTAGCGCATAGCATGGGATTTAAAATACTTAACATTTATTGAGCATAGTTTTCTCTTGGCGTGTGTCACAACTACTCTGTGGCAGGTAGCTATGAAGCCAGTGATCCTTAGATCTTATTGATCTGAAAGTAATCTTTCGGTCCCTAAAAGAGGGTCTGGTATATTATAGTAGGTGCCCGATAAAATGTGTGACTCCAGGTTCTTTTTTAGCGATCCTGGTTTAAGTGCAGTGATTTGCTCTAGATTTGACGTGTGGCAAGGGAATCCGATGCAACGCTGGGGTTACACTTAGAATTGTACCAGGAGCCCAAGCTTCCTAACCCTCTGCTCCTCCCAATACTCCCTCTCTCTGGGTTGGGCTGGCCCTAGTGTCAGCAACAGTTCCGGGTGCATCCAAGGCGTGAGCGCCTTGAACCCAAGGGGTGGGCTGAGGAGGGACTGCGCCTTCTCAAGCCCAGTGCCTTCCGCATCCCAGTCCGGAGGCCCGTGCGCATGACCTCTCTGCTCCCCACGCCCCTCGTGCTGGCCCCGAGCCAGCGGCTCCGGAAGCTCCATCCCCGGCCCAGCCCCCACTCCCCACCCAGCCGATCGGGCCACCGCGCCCCGCCCCGCCCGCGCAGGCTCCGCCCCTCGCTTCCCCATTCGACGCTCCTCCCCCTGCGCCCAGCTCCATACTTGGCGATCGCCGAGGCCCTGCGCGCTCATTGGCCCAGACCTCGCTGCGTGGGGGGCGGGCCCAGCTCCGGGCCGGGCGGGGAAGGAAGGTGGCGGCGGCCCGGCGCGGGGGGGGGCGGAGGGGGACGCTGACCCGGATGTTCACTCCTGGGCACCCGGGGAAGTGGAAGCGCCGGGCCCTGCTGCGGGGGGGAGAACCACAGACGCCGGGACCGGGACCGCCGCCGCCGCCGCCACCATGGTAAAGGCCCGGCGTCACTCTCCTCCAGCCTCGGGGGCCCCGCTGGAGCTCGCGTTGCCCTCCCCTTGCCGCCCCCCGGCCCGTGAAGGGTGGGTTCCTGCGGGTGGGGGAGGGGCGGGGTCCCGGGCCCTAGGTGGACAGCGTTCCTGTGCGATCTGCAAGGGGCTGCTGGCCCGGGCTCTCGGGTGGCTGGTCCCCCTGCCTGTCCCTTTCAGCTCCCGCCCTTGGCTCAGGCTGGAGCTCCACTCTTCACCTCCTGAGTCTCGGCTGGTCTTAATCCCGTTGCCCAGGTTGGACCCTCTTTCCCCTCGTGGTCCAGACCAGGCACCCCTTCAGTCCCTGGCGTGGACCTCTTCTCTCCTCCCCATGGCCCACGCTAGGTACTCCTCGTTGCCTTTCCACCCAGAAGAGACCGGCGTTTCTCCCATGCCCCAGGCTGAGCTCCCTGTCTTCTTCGTCCAGGCTAGCTAGCTAGGCCGCTGCACCCCACTGCACTCTGCTCCTCTCTCCATGGTCCCGACCGGGAACTCCGTCACTTCCCACCCCATCCATTGGCCTCAGTTTAGACTTGTTTCCCTTCTCCGTTGCCGCAACCTGAACCCTCCCTTCCATGTTCTTAAGTCTGAACCTCCGCTCCTCCATGGCCTCCGCCTGGAAGTCACCTCTTATGCCCCCTGAACCCCTTTCCCACCACTCTTAGCTCAGCCTGGGCCTGCCCCGCCTCGGCTTTACCTTGCCACCTGGGCCCTGCATCCTGACCTGCCACCCGCCCCAGGTGGCTGCCTCCGCTGTGCCTGGAGCCGACCTTAGCAGCCTCTCTGGCGTGGGAACGAGGGGAGTTCTCCAGCTAGGATTGGGGTGATCCTTGCTGTGGTATCTCAGCTTGAAGGTTGCCCCTTCCAGGGAGGCCTCCTGGGAGCGAGCCAGCCTGGGAAGGGCCGGCATCCGTGTGCCGGAAGGCAGTCTGCAGGGCGCTGGGGGCCTTCTCTGCCTTCGTGTAGAGGGTGCGGTGCGGAAGGAGCCTGCAGCGGGTTCCCACGGCAGAGGGGCAGAGGAGCATTAGTGCGAAGGATGGCAGAGCTTAGGGGGGAGGTCGGCAAGACGGGGATGAGCACACAATCACTCTTGTGAGGTCTTTAGCCTTTAGAGGGGCCACCAGAGCCTGAGCCCAACGTAAGGCCTGGACGCGATGCACCCTAGCAGGCGCACCTTCCCTTTCCCCCTGAACTGTCAACTCGTGAGGGTTGGAACTGCTGATTATGGAGGTACATCGGATCAGGTGAGCCAGACGTGGCTCCACGCGTGGTGTTTGTTTTGGTAATGAAGGCAGGTGCTGCTCTCTGGCCCATCTGACAGGCCTGATGTTTCAGGTCCCTAGAGGCCCTCACAGGGGAGCCTGCCCTCTCTGCACTTTGGAACCTTCTGCAGGACAGATTCAGCACCCCGATTGGAAGGGCCGAGGGTTTCTGCTTCACATGGGCAGGGAACTTGTAAAGATGGCACTGACAGAACTGAGCCCATCAACCTGCAGTGTCAAGCGGTAGTGCCACCAGAGTGAGGGCATTCAGACTGCCCTGGGTGGCGCTGCCATGAGGGGTGACACCACAGTGTCACTTTATATATATATGGTCCTTTGGTAGAAATGTATTAATTTTTAGAAAAATGTTCCTATAGTTAGTTGTGTCAAAATTTTTGTTTGTAAGCCAGCTTGCATTTATCAATATATGCTCATTTTCTTACTCTCCATTCTAACTCGGGCTCTAGTTAAAACTGTCACTGTTGCCCAATTATAATGACAGGCTACAAGCACATGCTATTATCTTTATTGCTGGTGTTTTTACAGTTGCTGAATTTGTCAGATATTTTGATAGGTTAACTGCAACCTTTTTGGTGATTACTATTTGTAAATCTGTATCAATAACTTTTTTGAGAATGAAATAGTAATTAAAGGTAAAAAAGGAGAAAGTGAAAAAGGACATCTGCTCAGTTACCAGGAATGTAACTTGATGTAGACCTTATAAAACTATTTGTCAGTATTCATATGATCTAAGAAATACTATGGTTATGTCACTTACAACTATATTTATCACATCCTATGATGAAAATTGATAATGTTACAAAAAAGTTTGTGTCTCCTGTGATTAAAATTGATAATGTTACTAAAAAGTTTGTATCTCCTGGGACAGGAGGAGGACCATGGGATGACTTGAGCCAGTGATACCTTCGGCATCAGGGTCCTGCTGTGGGCCTCCTCCCATTCAGTGCAGGGCAGGTGCTTGTTATGTGGACTTTGGGCCCTAAAGGGTTTTGAGGATCCCAGTTCCTTGTGTAAGTGGAGGATTTGCTGCTGAGATTAGGGTGACTAATTCAGCCTGACTAGATATTTTCTTGCTGCCTTCCTGGATAATGATTAAAAATGTGGTCAGTACTGGCTGCATGGAAGATAGGCCATAATCAGGGAAGGATTTCTCCTGGACAGTTCAGGAGTGAGGACTTTAAAAGTTTTAGAAGTTTGTTCCCAGGGCAAAAGAAGGGGAAAGTGGCTGGAATGTCTAGGGCTGAGATAGGGCTACACAAGAAAACATGTCAGGCAGGGAAGGGAATCTGGCCTTAACCTGCTGAGTGTCTGATTCTGTTGAGATTCGATAGAACAGAGATTTATGATGAACCAGAGGGAGGAGCATGATGACACGTGAGGCTTCTCAAGAGTTCTGCATGTGGTGCTCCTCAGTACATCCAGAGACAATCTGAAAAGACTATGGAAGAGATTGAGGGAAAGGGACTAACACTTCTTAGAGGCCTACGAGGTGCCAGGCTTGGTGCTGCATGCTTCACTTGTGTGAGCTTATGCGATCCACATGAAGCATTTGGGAGGTAGTGCCGACCCATTTTACAGATGAGAAAAATTGAGGCTTAGGGATGGAGTAAAAGGAAAAGAACCACTGACACTCAGGAAGCACATCTGGCGTGCTCTAAACTAAGTTCCTTCTGGGTTGCTAGTTAGAAGATATAAATGACTATTTAAAGTCCTTGATAGTGGAATATTGAGTGCTAACTGTATGCTAGGCCCTCTTCAGAGAAGATTTTGTTTAATAATACGGTGTTTTTGCTTGGGCAGGGATTTTTGCCTTAGGTTTTCAGTGGCTCTGTCTCCAGGCCCTAGAATGGTACCCAGCACTCCAGCAGGTTGTTTACAGTGCTCTCTTTAGGAATATGTCTATGCCTGTGGCCCTGACCACGTGACTATCACATCAGTTATCAATAACTTGCTCTTAGTATCGTTATGCTTATAATTTGTTGCTGGTTATTGTTCAGTTTTATGCCCTGACTAGTAAGTGCAGATAGTTAAGATAGGGCAGAAGTGGTAGCATGGAGTTCTTTCATAGTTAAGTGAATTAAGATGGTGATAATTAATGTTTTTATTACTAATTGTTAACAGTAAATGGTTAGGTCTCAGCTGTCTATGGAGAAAGATGCGAGTTTGATAATTTTGGAATAGATTCAGTAGAGTTTTTCTATTGTCATCACTTTCCTCTTCTCAGTTAAAACTGTGTTGTTGTTGAGTTGAGTATGACTCATAATGATCCTGTGAACAACAGATCTGAACCCTGGCCTATCCTGTGCCATCCTCAGAATCTCTGACCCACTCAAGTCCATTGTTGCAGTCACTGTTTCAATCCACCTGGTTAAGAGTCTTGCTCTCTGTATAGTTTTCTTCTAAAACTACATAGTTAAGTGGAATTAATTTGCCTTCACTTAGCAGGTAATGCTTTCTTAAAAGCTTTATAGTTTTTTGAATTACTGTTTTAGTGCCTCATTGGCTCCTCTTAGTTGTCAATCCAGCTGGCAGATTATAGAAGCTTGTCATATTGTTTCAAAATGAAAGAATATTGTTGACACTAGTGTATCTTTGCTGGTCTCATAATGTGAATGAGATACATAGTTCACTTTAGACCAGATTTGTGTATGCAATTTTATTCATTTACACTCAACTGGCCCTTTTAATAAGGAGTCCTAGTGGTATAGTGGTTAAGTGTTCAGCTGCTAACCAGAAAGTCAGAGATTTGAACCCATTTGCTGCTCTGCTGGAGAAAGATGTGGCAGACTGCTTCTGTAAAGATTACAACTTTGGAAACCCTGTGGGAAGTTCTACTTTCCTGTAGGGTCACTTTGCATTGATATTAACTTTATAGGAAAGATTAGGATTTTTGTTTGGTTTTGGCCTCTTTTTTGGAGGAAGTTTGAAAAACGATGTCAGTAATGGACAGCTTTGAGATTCAGGAGTTAATACTTTCAGAGGCTGATGTTTCTGTGTTCATGGGAAAGGGAGAAGACAGCGCAGGGCAGTGGTTTGCTGAGCAGGTAAATCATCTATCTGGAATACTGCTTCCTAGGCCTGGAAGTACTTGCATTTGGCAAATACAGAGGAATGTTAGGGGCTGAATGTTGAGGCTTTGCCTCACATACTTTGGGTATGTTGCTGCTAGGAGGTGCTTGTTCCTTGGAGAAGGACATGGTGCTGGGAAGGGTGGAGGGTTGGTGAAGGAGAGGAAGACCTTCAACCAGGTAGACTGATGAGGTGACTGCTGCAATGGGTTCTTGCGTGTCAGGAAGTGTGAGGATGGCGCAGGATAGGACAGGGTTCAGATCTTTTGTTCATAGGGTCACTACAAGTTGTATTCAACTCAGTGTCACGTAGCAACAATAGCAAATAGTTATGAAGTGCCTGTTCTAGGTTTAGCTCTATTGCTGAGGATACAATAAAAAAGACAAAGTTCTCTGTTATCTCAGTTTATATTATAATGGGAAGTGGGGTGAACATTGCCCTGAAGTGACGTTTAAGGGGAGGGGGGAAACTTTTTTAATATAAATGCAAGATTTATATATTTAAATGAAGTGTGACCAGCAGCCTTAAAAAAAATTGTCCCAGGTTTGCTTTTTTTTCCCCTTGTACCTGATTGTCTTGTCTCAGCCATTACATGAGAAATAAATTTCAATACAATCTGTTCCTCTTCAAGCTAGAAGCTTTCTCCTCTCTAGGAATGTAAGGAATGCTTTGGGACTCTAGCATTTCTGACCTGGTCTACTATTAAACTGAGGGTCTCCTGAGACATGGCAGTTGTATCTTAGCCCCTTATTTACTTACGAAGAGCCTGTCACTCTTGAGGTTATGTGTCAGTGGTAGACCTGGAACTTGAGCCCACGTCTGCCTAAATCCCATGCTTATTTCTCAGAAACAGATGAGCCCAGGTCCATAAGTACAAGATCTCCTTGCACCAGGTTCCATCGGTGAAAGTGGTATGGGAAAGCCTAGAGAATGCAATTGCAAGATCATCTGGCTAGAACTAGCTATGATATTACCAATTCCCAACCTAGATTTTCACAAATTTATGTTTTCGCATAAGGAACAACACCAGTGAACACTAACCCTGGGCTACACACTGCCTACAAAATCTTGACTTTAGCCAGATTGCCTCTGGATAATAACAATACCTACTTTGGTGGCCTAATGGCAAGAAGCTATACTGCTGTCCCAAAGGCAGGCGGTTCAAATCCACCAGTTGCACCATAGAAGGAGGATGGGTAATCTCTTCCTATGCAATTAACTGCCTCTGAAAACTTGCCAGAGGATCAGCTATGGATTAGTACCAACCTGATGGTACACAACAACAACTTCATTATGATTGTTATAAGGATTAAATGAGATAATTCTTGTCTAGTGCTTTGGACAGTATCTGGTGTCTGTTTTAAAGTTTGGGGTGTGGAGAATAAAGGTCAAACTCGTTGCTTGTAGAGTCAGAACGCAGCTCATAGCTGATCCTCCAATGAGTTTCTAAAGGGTAGGGTATAAAGCCCATGGGAGGAGATTGTCCATCTCTTTACCTTGGAGCGCACTGGGGATTCAAGCCACCAGGCAGTTATGGCCTTTGGGTTAGCAGCTTAACTTCCTATGGACTATGCCACATGATTATATATACCTGGCACATGATCATATTTATGTTTTAAGTATTGTTAGTGTGCTTAGCTTTGGACTGTGTCTTGAATCAGGAACTTCCTCTGCAAGAGTCTGGGATTTTCTTTTCCACAGGAAATAAATAGGAACTATACATGTTGCCACAGCTTGACCTTTCGTTTTGGGATCAGTTACTTCTTTTGTATTTGATGAACCCCCTAAAAACAGAGTCTTCTCCTTCCTCTTTGAGTAAAGAGGTCAGGGCTGGGGCCAGAGTGTGAACTGTCCGAAAGCAGAAAGTTCATCTGTTTGGTTCCTTCTGACTG